AATGCTGTTGGTATTTTGATAGGGATTGCATTAAATGTGTAGATTGCTTTGGGTAGTATGCACATTTTAACAATATTTTTTCTTCCAATCCATGAGCATGAGCATGGAAAGTCTTTCCATTTCTTTATGTCATCTTCAATTTTGTGGAAATAATCTTAAACTACTGATTTACTGTATGATTACAAATGTGTGCATGTTTTCTATTTCTTCCTTAGTCATTTCTGGAAAATAGTATCTTTTCTAGAACTTTTCTATTTATTGAAGCAGATTTAATGTCATAAATTTTTCCATAGTATTATAGTAGAATTTTAAAAACTTGTGTTAGTTTTCAATTGCTATGTAGCATATTACCACAAATTCAAGGACTTAAGGTAACACAATTTTATTATCTTACAATTTCCTTGGGTCAGGAGTCTGGGTATGGTTAGCTGGGTATTCTGCTCAGGGTTGCACCAGGCTGAAATTAAGGAGCCACCAGGTTGTGATTTCATCTGAGGCTTAGGGTCCTCTCCCAAGCTCACTGTTTGTCAGCAAAATCCATTCCTTTGCAGTTGTACTACTGAGGTACCTATCTCCTTGCTGGTGTCAGTCAGACAGTGCTATAAACTCCTAGAGGCTGCCCATAGTTCCTTGCCACATGGCCACCATAGGCAGTTCACAATGTGGGTGTATGTTCTTTTCCAGCTAGCTGGAGTGTTATCTTTCTTAGACTTCCAGCCCTTCTTTAGCCTGCCATAATGCAGTTTTATATAAAATAAATTTTATATTTTGACTTTCATTGTTAAGAAGACAGCTGTCAATCTAATTGTGGTTTTTTTGAAGGGAATCTGTCTTTTTATTCAGGTAGCTGTTAAGTTTTTCTCTTTGCCTCTCATTTGCAGAAGTTCTAATGGTGTGCTCATGTGTGTATTTCTTTTTATAAATAATGTATTTTTGATGTATTTAGGACCTCTTTAATCTGTAGATTGATGTCTTTTCCAGTTTTGGAAAAATTTCAGCTATTTTCTCTTCAAATATGTATTTGCTCTATCTATTCTTTTTTTCATCTTCTTTATGACATATCACTCACTTTACTAATCCTTTTATTGGTTGTTTCTAAACATGCTTAAATGCAGATTGAATGTTCCTGGATGTCAGCCCCCAAATTCTTCACTGCTTTTTTAGTGCTTTAGTGCCTTCAAGTGGATAGTTTAAAATATATGTCCAGCTTTTGCTGTTTTTAGTGAGACAGTTGGTCCAAATTACATGGTCCACCAATATCAGAAACAGAAGGCCTCTTATAATTCATTCTGCAAAGTCTGCAGTTATGTGCCCCTTTAATTCTTAGTATTGTTTAAGTCTGTTTATTTTTGATCAGTCATGCCACAGTTATGAAATTAATTTATTCTATCAATTTAATCAATCTTTAGATTTGTTTGAATTAATTATATGATACATTTTTATTCCTTCTATGTTCCTTGCATAATCTATTATTCTGTGATTAAGTTGGTAGCTTAATTTATTACTTTTTAACACTTATTTTTTTTTCCTAATAGAAGGAAGTATTGCTCTAGGTACATCCCACAAAATTGTAAATAGTTTCATTACAAGTTTTGGATTTGTAAAATTGTCTAATTTTTATTATAATCAATTCTTTTGTTGAAAGCTGGACATGAGGTATTGGGTAAAAGGAACTGAGGCAAATAGGCCTTTAGTGGGAAGTTTTATGTTAGGCATTAGGCAGTGTTTAATATTTGCTGTAGTTGTGGTGTCAGAGGTTAAAATTTCCTCTAGTGTCCTCGTTTTTGTCTCACTTGCTGTTTTTTTTGTTTCCCCAGAGACTCCTTCATAAATAAGGTCTGAGGATTCAGCTCTTTCAGCTGTACTCCTTGAAATTCTCCAGCCTTACTGATGTGGTAGCAAGGTACAGGGGAGTGGAAGAATTCCATAGTCTTATGATTAGGTCTCAGTCTCCTAGTGAGCCCTTGTCCCTGGGCTGTAACCTTCATAGGTCCCTCTCAGTTTTCCTTTTTTTTCTTGGATCCTCCCCCAGATTTGTTAGGTTCTCACAAAATAGTTTTCCTTGAGGGCAGACTGTTAGGGAGAACAGTGCTCTCTGGGTTTATTTCAAAATGCTAACTTTTCCCTTCCTCTTGCTGAAGCACAGGGGGTTTATTTCCTGATGTTCATCATGAGAAACCGATGGGGCTGCTGGAAGTAAAACTCATGAAACTATGAGAGCTCCTCTGAGGGCAGGACCTCAGTAGTTTTTATCTCTGAAGCTAGCCTATGCTCAGTCTCTAGTAATAGTTCATTTTCCTTTAATGTTCTGGCCAGGCTCAAGATGCGGCTTCTATTCCCAGAAAGCTGTAACTTTCTGTGTTCCCTTGTCTCCTAGTTTTTGGGGTGGCGGTTTTTCCTGTGACTTCAATTCTCTGATAGATCTAAGAAGTCTTGCTGACTTTGTTTGTTTACCCTTTTTTATTGGTGAGTGTGGGAGCAGCAACTTCCAAGCTTTTTATTCTTTCCACGTTGAACTAGACTTATACCTCATTCTTTGGTATGTAGGTTAATTAGAGTTGTGTTTCTTAATTTCTAACCATATGGGCTTCCTTCTAGTTACCTTTTTGATACTGATTTCTAACTTAACTGTATCATGGTCAGAGAACTTGATCTGTATGATTCCATATCTAAAATGTTTTGAGATATGCTTTATTGACTAGTATATGGCCTATTTTGAAAAAAATTTCAATTCACGGTTGCTAATATGTGCCCGGTACTTGTTAGTCAGTGTTCTGGGAGGAAATGGTTGGCATACTTAAATAGGACTAATGAGGGGGCTTACCAGGATGTGAACAGGATTAGGGGAATCAGAAAGGGATGTTGAAGCATCCCAGGCTCTCAAGAGCAGAAAGCAGGTGCCACCTTATGGGGACAGGAAAGGGAGATTTTGGAGAAGGACACCTGACAGTAATTCTGGGACATCAGGGAAGAAGCAGAAGAATAAAGAGCCTCACTCACTAACTCTCCTGCCTTCCTCTATCCTGCTAAGTAACTCTTATTAGTTGAGCCCAACAGGATGTAGAAGGCATCAAAACCCATTGAGGCAGCAAACAAAGGTCTGTCTGCCAGGACACAGATCAGAGGGAGAAGGTATGTATTTAGTTCTATAGGGGAAAAGAAAATATCCATCATACATAAAAGGAAGAGTGGATCCTTTATATGAGAGGAGCATATGGGTGGGGGAAATATACACATTGATGAAAGAGGGAGATTGATAAGGTGAATGAGAAAAATGTTGACGTTCTAGAAAGTATTCCTATTAGAGGGCACATGGTTTTCACGGGTTGCACTGAATGGCATTTGCAGGAATCATAATGCAAATGAGCAAAGACAATGAATGATAGGATTGAGTTAGGCAAGAATGTGAGATTGGTGGGAACAAGAGAAAGATCACTGATGGATGGATGAAGTTTGAATGGAAGTAACAGAGGAAACGGGCAGAATTTAAGTAGGAGTCCATGCTAGTGGCAGGCAGAAGGATGTGATTGAGTAGGAAAAGTCTTATAATTTGAGATAAGTAGAGGAGTAAGGGTAGACTCAGATAGGGATAAACACAGAGGTTTTAGAGCAGGTTTTATCACATCTACTTATATAGATTGTTGCCATGGCAGTGCCAGCAGAAATCCTGCCCATGGTAAACCAGAAGTGTCTTTGTAGACAAAATTCTGCGTCCTAAATTCTTCGTTTCCTCCTGCCTCTTTTTTTTCCCATATCAATTCCTCTCATCATCTTCCTCATTCTGTCCTTTTAATACTTTATCTCCTGACCAGGGTTACTCAACCTCAGCATTATTGATTTCTTGGGTTGCATAATTCTTTATTATGGGGGTTGGTCTGTGTATTATAGGATGTTCAGCAGCACCCCCGACCCCTACATACTAGGTGCCAGTTGCACACACCCTCCTCCTGTTATGACAACCAAAAAATGTCTTCAGATATTGCCAAATACCTCCTGGGGGAAGTAATCATCCCTGCTGAGAACTCCTGCTCTAGACTTTAGGTAACTGAATACGGGCAGGGAAGAAAGAGATAGAGGTGTGAGCAGAGTCTTGGAAATGTAGTGTATTATAAGTAAAACAAGAGAGAGGAAGAAATCTCCAAGAACAAAAGGGAAATATTTAAATTGCACAACATGCGTCCAGGCAGGGCACAAAATTTTTCCAGCGAAAGTGAATAAATACACAAAAAACTTAAAGTGCTCTTTTTATATTCTTATAAAATGCAGATGTCACTGGAAGCTTCCTTGACCCTACAAGATTTCATTCTATAGCTCCCACTCCCAGTTTACAATCTGGGGATGTGGATGCACCCCTCAGACTTCCTGTTCTTGCTTCTGCCCTCCCACCTTTCCATTAAGAATTCACATGTATTTGGCATATAGCTCCTCCTCTTGTTTCCTTGGAGGAGTAATACAATCCTATTCATCAGTTCTTACTTTTTCTGGGAACTTTCTTGGAGAATTTTGTAGCCACCATATAGGGATAATATTACATACCCCTTAACACATTTCTCCCATCCATTGCTTTTTCCCAAACTTATATACATCCCTTTGTTTCCCACATGGCTCTCAGTCTGTTCTTTTCCCAAAGCTGGGGCTCCTGCTAATTGCCTTTGCCCTAGAAAGAAATGCTCCAAAGAATGGAATGGTCATCCTCTTACTGTCTTTCTCTTGAAGATCTTACTACCTTTCCCCCAAATTTGGAATAAACTTTTCCATTTCATTTTACTCGCCCCTCCAATCATGAACATGTATCAGTAAGAGAAATTTGGAAAGATCAATCTATACTGGAAGTGAAATCAGACAGATGAGCATTAGACATCAACAGGATCTTCCAGGACTGATGCTAGTAGAAAGAAAGCTATGAATGCTCTTTCCTGGAGGCTCTCAGCATTGGAGAGTTGCCCAATTGTCAAGACTTGGGTGGGCGGGGGGAGACCTCTCTTCCAGGAGTCTTCCCACTAGATAGATTCTGCCTGGGCCAGGCTGGTCCTCCCAAGGGCCCTCACCATGGCCCCCTTCATTTCCTTGTTTCGAAAACTATAGATGATGGGGTTACACATGGGGGTGATGATGGTGTAGAGAAGGGAGAAAGGCTTGTCTTTGTCAGGGCCATGTGTGCTGCGAGGATTCATGTAAGAGAACATGGCTGAGGTATAGAAAAAGATGACCACAGTCAGATGGGAGGCACAAGTAGAGAAGGTCTTCCCCCGACCTGAGGAAGAGGTTCTGCCAAGGATGGAGGCCAGGATGCGGGCGTAGGAGATAACAATGAGCACCATGGGGCTGAGCAGCACCACAATAGCATCGGCAAAGATCATTTTCAGGCTAAACTGGGGGTCTCCACAAGAGAGGGCAATCACTATGGGGGCCTCACAGAAGAAGTTTTCTATGTGGTTGTCTCTACAGAATGGACCACGAAATGTCATATAATCAAGCAGAATGCCATTGATCAGCCCAAAGAACCAGGCAGTACTCACCAGCCTCACACAGACATGCCGGCTCATGATCTGTGCATAGCTGAGTGGGTGGCAGATAGCAACGTAACGGTCATAGGCCATAAAAGCCAAGAGGATGCACTCGGCCACACCTACACCAAAAACCAGATACATCTGGGTCAAGCAGGAGGCAAAGGAGACAGTGTGGTTCTTGACCACCAGGTGGATTAGCATCTGTGGGATGGTGGTGGTGATGAAGCAGACATCCAGGAAGGACAGATGGCCAAGGAAGAAGTACATGGGGCTGTTGAGTCTGGGGTCTGTCCAGGTGATGAAGATGATGAGGCCATTCATGGCCATGGCAAGGCTGTAGAGGGCTAGGAAGAGGGCAAAGAGCAATGCCCGAGTGGAAGAGGAGCTCTGCTCAAAGCCCACGAGGATAAACTCTGTCACTGTGCTCCCATTCCTTAGGTCCACCATCTGCGGCCTGCTTGAGGAGGGAAGACAGGAAAAGCACAGGTGAGACAGCTATGTGTGGATGCTACCTAGTTGTATAAAAACAGACAAAGGGGACAAAGGAATGAAAAAGACGGAAATTTTAGTACATTCTATGTGAGTCAATATTGTCATGGGCACTGAAAATGCTAGTGCTATTGTAGGCTGTAATAGTGGAACCATATTATGAACCAAGGGAGATTCTGTTGTACCTTGTGTGAATCAGGCTGCATCTGAAAATATCGTATCCAGTTCTTGGACCTCTATTTTAAATGGTTATCCACTGGGACTACCCATATCCATGGGGCTATGTTCATGAGACAAACAAGACGGTGAAAGATCTGGGAACCACGTGACAAAGCTTTGAAGGAAACTTTAAAGAAGACTCAAGGAATCTGAGACGTCCATTTAAATATTAATGGGATCTCCATCTACAGGAGTGAATTTTCTATCTCTGTATGCTGTCAATAAGTAGAACTTGAACCAGAGAGTAGAAATGTCAGAGAAAAAAAATGAGTGATATTTCTAATTGCACATTTTCTTTCTGCTCTTAACTACAAAAGCAATGCCTGTTCATTATAGAACATCTAGAAAATACCAAAAAAAGCAAAATTAAGTAAATAAAAACAACCACCTAGAGAGAAACCACATCAATATTTTAGTTTATGCCTTTTCAATCATTTTGTTTTGTGTGTTTATATTTTAAAAGCTTTTAAGATCAACATAAGGTCTGAGTAGAACCTGCCTTCAAAACTTAAGTTGGAGAGAAGTATAGCTTCAGGAAGAAATACAGCACTGATTCCAGGTTGGAGGATTCCAATAGGGAGAAAGTATAAAGGATAAACATTCATCTTTTGTTTGAATGGGCAGTTGGGAACAATTGCATTCCAACCCATTTTGCAGCCCCAAATAATTTATTCATTTAATAAGTGAATGTCTACTATGTTTCACATATTGTGCTAAGTGCGAGGGATATAACATCATTAATGAGACCTTTCTCCCTGAACTAATGGGTATTATACTATATCCTAAGTCATTAGATCAAGGGGATAAGTAAGAATATAAAGAATCCATATAATATATGCATAATATTAACAAAAAAGCATACATTTATAAGCAAATATATTTCAAACTCTCTTGCCTCCATACAGGGAATGTATCTTTTTGAAAGGTCATGGAACATTTGTAAAATATTGTTGTTATATTAGAGTACAAAGAAACCTTAAATGAATTCCAAAGATCCCAAAGAGTGCAGACTATGTTCACTATGCTAACACTGGGCATTAATATTCTTAAATTTCTGTATAGAGGGGATTTCTTAAAATTGTGTTTATTTTCTTCTCTTGAGGGAGAAAAAGAGCACAGTGGCTGGTCAGCTTGTTTATGGGATTTTGCTTACCAATATTGTGTATCATCCCATTGTATACTTTAAATATCTTATAATTTTGTCAATTAGACCTCATTAAAGCTGAAAAAAGTCTGTCAAATCCAAGTGGATAAAAGAGAATATTGTTTGCTGAGGTTTTTGTTTTTGTTTTACTTCAAGAAAATTAGTAAACTCTTACTGGAAATTTTACATTTCAAATGTGTTTCTTTGATAAATAAATTGTAAATAACACTCTTCTGATTAGCAAGGCTGCAGGAGCATTGTCCCATTTGTGCACTGCACAAAGGCTCCTGAAGGGAAGAGTGAATGCTGAAATCCAGCCTATGTAATCTAGCCTGTGCTCAATTTATCAAGCTGTGCACCCTGGTGAGGTGTGAGTTCAAGAGAAGTGGTGCCTTTTCCTCTAGTTCTTGCCTGACAGAGAGTGACTTTTTATAATTAGCGCAAAGGTACCGTATGTGCTAGGGAAGTATTGCTGATCAGGAAGATCTGGCCTTGAGAATATGTCAATTGTAGCACTTAAATTTTTTGTCTTACAACATTGGTGAAATTTTTGAATAAGTAACAATAAATAGGCCTATGTTCCTCTGAGTGGATTTTAGGAATAAAAAGGCAACAGGCATTTCTTATAATGCAGTGGTACTCAAAGTGTGCTCCAAAGGCCATCACCCCCAGCAGTGTTAACTGAGAACTTGATAGAAATGCAAACAGTTGGGCCTTACCTCAGCCACTGAATCAAACTCAGGGATGGGGTCCAGAAACCAGTATTTAAAATACAAGACCTCCATGTGAGTCTGATGCACATTAAACATTGAAAACTATCAGTTTAATGTAGGGCAGGACAAATTATGGCCCCCAAGCTAAATATAGGCCACTGCCTATTTTTATAAACAAAGTTTAATTGGAACATAGCCACTCCCATTTACTTATGCATTGTTTATAATTGTTTTCACACTACAGGCAGGGCTGAGTAGTTGCCAGAGACCAAAGAGCCTATAAATACGGTTGTCGGATTTAGCAAATAAAAATGTAAAATGATTCATTAAATGTGTTCTTCAGACAAACAATGAATACTTTTTATTATAAATATGTTTCATGCAATATTAGTAACCCAACACACAAAGCCTAAAATATTTCACTATTTGGCCCTTTACAGAAAATGTTTGCTGATCCTGCTTAATGTAATGACTTTAGAGTAGACTTGCTTCTGATAAACAAGGGTGTGTAAGGGAAGCAATGAAGAAGGCCTCAGTCCTGAGTACACATCTGGGATTCTGGTGCATCAAGTCTCAAGGACTTCCTTCCCAAGAAGGCCAAAACTAGGAGACCAATTTGCCTGGATGGAAGGGCAGCTGGTGCCACTTCGTTTTCTTTTTATTAAACTCATTTAATCAGTTGCTTTTCCTTTTTTAAGTGCCTGGCATTACACGTGTTCAATTAATATAAAGCAGAAGAACTTCAATAATAAAAATTTTTAAAAATATCAAGCAGATGTTTTAGAAGCATTGGCCAAGTAATTCAGAAGTGTTTCTGTGACAATAATAAAACTAGACATGATTATGAAAATAACCCCAGCTACTTGAAAATGGAGGGAAAAAAAACCCTTTGAAAACAATCCTTAGATCAAAAAAAGGAAATCAAACAGTAATTACAGATTATCTAAAAAGTACTGATAATAAAAGTAGCATATATTAATAAGTACTATACACAGATTTTTGTTAGAGAAAGTTAATAGCCTGAAATAGTTTTATTATTTAACAAAAAGGAATAAACATAAATGAAATAAGACAAGATAAAATTGATGTAGAGGTTAGAAGCAGATAAACAAAATTAACTTAAGGAAGACCAGAGGGGGAAATATGTACTGGAGGAAAAGATAATTTTCTAGGTAAATATAAATCACTAAAACTCATTAAAGAAAAGATAGAAATCAAGATAAGCTAATATTCTGAGTGAAAGGAATGAAATGCAGTTGTTCTAAACCTTAGCTTCACATTATAGTCACTTGAGTTTTTATAAGATTTTTGTGGGGTTTTTTGGTTTTGTTTTGTTTTTTAGTTTATTTATTTATTTTTTGAGAGAGAGAGAGTGCACGGGGGCGGGGGGGGGGGGGGGGGGGGAGAGAGAGAATCCCAAGCAGGCTCTACACTGTCAGCTCAGAGCCTGATGCAGGGCTCAAACTCACAAACTGTGAGATCATGACCTGAGCCGAAATCAAGAGTTGGACGATTAACTGACGGAGCCACCCAGGTGCCCCAACTTGAAGAGTTTTTAAATGTTCCCATGGCAAAAGACATGAACAGCCATTTCTCCAAAGAAGACATACAGATGGCCAACAGACACATGAAAAGATGCTCAACATCATTCATCATCAAGGAAATGCAATTCAAAATCACACTGAGGATCACCTCACACCTGTCAGAATGGCTAAAATCAAAAACACAAGAAGTAACAAGTGTTGACAAGGTTGTGGAGAAAAAGGATCCCTCTTGCACTATTGGTGGGAATGCAAACTGGTGCAACCACTCTGGAAATAGTATGGAGGCTCTTCAAAAAATTAAAAATAGTATTGTCTTATGACCTAGCAATTGCACTACTAGGTATTTACCTAAAGGATACAAAAATACAGATTCAAAGGGGCACATGCACCCCTATGTTTACAGCAGCATTATCAACACTAGTCAAATTATGGAAAGAGACCAAATCACCATCAACTGATGAATGGATAAAGAAGATGTGGGGGTACCTGGGTGGCTCAGGTGGTTGAGCATCCAACTCTTGATTTTGGCTCAAGTCATGATCTCATGGTTTGTGAGTTCAAGCCCCACATTGGGCTCTGAACTGACAGTGCAAAGCCTGCTTGGATTCTCTCTCTCCCTCTATCTCTGCCCCTACCCCACTCATGCTCTCTTTGTCTCTCAAATAAATAAACTTTAAAAATAATTAAAAAAATGAAGATGTGGGATACATACACACACACACACACACACACACACAGAGGCATATTTACTCAGCAATCAAAAAGAATGAAATCTTGCCATTTGCAACAATGTAGAGGGAGCTAGAATGTATTATGCTAAGTGAAATAAGTCACAGAAAGACAAATACCAATGATTTCACTCATATGTGGAATTTAAAAACAAAACAAATGAACAAAGGGAGAGAGAGAGAGAGAGAGAGAGAGAGAGAGAGAGAGAAGACAGGAAACAGATTCTTAACTATAGAGAATGAACTGATGGTTACCAGATGGGAGGTGGGTGGAGGGATGGGTGGATTAGGTGATGGGGATTAAAGAGCACACTTATCATGATGAGCACCAAGTAATGTATAGAGTTGTTGAATCACTATATTGTACACATAAGACTAATATAACACTGTATGTTAACTATACTGGAATTAAAATTAAACTTTAAAAAAATATGTGGTATAGATGTGTATATATGTGGCATATATGTACAATTAATATTATTCAGCCATATAAAGAATGAAATATTGCCATTTGCAACAACATAGATGGAACTAGAGGGTATAATGCTAAGTGAAATAAGTCAGTCAGACAAAGACAAATACCTATGGTTTCACTCATATGTGGAATTGA